GCACAGCGTACTATAGCCTATTACTTGATGTGTTAACTGGTCGGGTTGCAGGTGAAATATCAACGGGTCGGGTCGGGTTCGGATTTGAATTGAAGATATCCACGGGTGACGGGTCGGGTTCGGTAGTCATCCTAACGGGTTCGGGCGGGTGCGGGTTGGTAAAACTCGACCCGTGCAGGACTCTACTCTAGAGGGAAAGAAGCAAATCAACATGGCGGGGCCTGTAATATTCAGGAAGTTTGGTTATAACTGTTATATTTAATTGTTTGCAGAGAGTCAGGCAATGAAGGCAGCCTTTGGTGAATTAACTTGACAGAGTCGGATTTTGAGAAGTGGATACGACAAACGATAGTCTAATCAGGGCCTACAGAGGCAGGAAAAAAACAATGTAGTTTGAGGTTCATCACAATGCTAAGCAGAATCATCACTGGAGATCATGTGGCAAAGTAGTGAAGCTAGTATTTTTATGAATGTCAGAAATTTCATGACTGTAAGGAGATGATGCGGTATGCTCTTGTGCTCTTTGTTATCTGACAGCCGAGCCTACTGATGAACTCCAAGCAGTTTGGAGCGGTTCGGTTGTGTCTGGCACGGTTCGGTTCACTTTTGCATGCCATTTTCCAACAGTTATCTTATGCTCAGACCAGACATGGGCAATGTGGAGTCAACAAGTCATCTCCATGTCATGTATTTAATCTACCCAGCCAATTAACCAGGTGAGTCCAATCTGCACAGGTTAATTCACGGTATAGATTGGACTCACCTGCTTCAGTGGCTGGGTAGAACAAATACATGACATGGAGATGACTTGTTGACTCCACATTGCCCATGTCTGGCTCAGACCAATCTCGGCACGGTTTCAAAAGGGTAGTATAAAAGGGGTTTAAAGCTATTGTAGAGGAATACTTAAAAGACTCGTCCTCTCCACTTTAAAAAACAATGCTCATGCAAGAGCATGCACCTTTAGAAAACATGCAGATTGAACGGTCATTTGGATCTACCTCTTTGGAATGGGGGTCGTTTGGCTTCTTTTCTTAGCCTGCAATGCTCCATACCTATCTTTGCCTCTCAAAGGGGGGGTCGTAAAAGGGAATTGTTGCCCTGGCTTATTAGGCGATATCTTCTGGTCCCCCGTAAAGGGGTTGAGGTTGCCAATGATAGCTGGAAGGGAATGACTTTCTGCTATCATCATCGGTATAGGCATTGCATCGGTATGTGTATTGCATGGGTATGGGCAATACAGGGGTATGGGCATTGACAGGTATGGGGATTTGCAGGCTTAGAAAAGAAGACAAACAATCCCCATTCCAAAGGGGCAGACCTGTTCGTCCGTTCAGTTTGCATGTTTTCTAAAGGTTTTGTTGGGCTACTGTATAAGAGCCTCAAACTCAACGCTATTTCTTACATTTAAATTGAAAAAGCTCCCAGGATGGGAAGTGAAACGTCTTCAAACTTGTAAACAAAGTCCAGTGGATTTTTTTTTTATTTCAGATGTTTTCCATATAAACAGCAGCACACCTCGCCATCAGAAGGACAATTTAGAAGCCAGATAAGGTTTGGAATATTCTTTATGATAGAAACAGGTCAAACTAATTGAGAATTTTGCCCTTATCATGTTTTCTCTCTTCGCTTAAAAATGTAAAGAAACTGTTTGCTGTCTGCATTACAGCAATACATTTTATAGAAGTCAAGGGCCAGTCAGTGTGGCAAATAAATGAGGTCTAATGCAACTGAATGAGAAATAGAGGGGAAAAGATAAGAAGGATATAACATCAAGTTTGTACTGCAAACAGAAAGAGTGACAATAAAACTAACATGTAATGATAACCTTTTCCTGTTTACACATATAACGGTGTCTGCCTCCAGTGATTGCTCTACATGTGCAGCTTTCGTTCCTTATTAGACAGGCTGCATCCAGTCAGACAGTCTACATCTAGTCAGTAAATGAACATTTATAGTTGCAATTTGTTGCGTCTGGCCTTTCCATTCTCTTATTTCCTCTCAGGGCTGCTCACAGCTGCCCCGAGGCAGTAGTTTAGGTTATTGTTATGATAAAGGAAGGCTATTCCTGTGCCTCCCACAGCTGTTTGGAACAATACATGACCAAACAAATCTCCCAATACACGGCACCAGACCATGATGGCCACAGTAAATGGTTGGCAACACCAGTTTACTATTAAATTTAAACTTTAAAATTACATCTCCTTAAAGCAAGATTCATATATTTAAGAAGTCTCTAAATACATCACTGTCAAGCACTGTCTAGGGATCAAGGGTTCGTCTTAACAATAGAAGGACATAATCCACTAGGAACTGATTTACTACTTAGAAAAAGTAATCATAACAATACCATGAAACACTGTCAGGACTCTATGACTTTGAACTTAATGCCCTGGAAATGGCATCCTGTTCAGGAAAAAGACGACCTCCTAGGATTCCTGCATATGGTAATATCCTAGAGTGTTACCAAATAATCCCATTCTAAGAATAAAAAAAATAAACAAAAAAAAAAAGTAAACAGCATTAGGCTTTTTAAATGTTTTTCAAAGCACATAATCAATTATAAAACAATTCTCTAAAGCCAACAGAAAAGGATTTTGAGTTAACCTTCAAAAAATCAGTAAGGCACTACCATAGAGGTTATAAGATGTTTGAAGTATGTCCATTGAAATAGATTGGATTTAATGAATGTATGGCTCTGTATCATAATCAAAAATTTAAAAGAGTATTTTGATAGTTACGTGAATCATTTATCCGGGAAATGTTGGTCGCCCTGAATCTAGACATAGGTAACAAAATCAGATTTCTGTTCAAAAATAACAGTATGGCTGCTGGAAATACTTTATCACTGGATTAATAAATGTATCTTGGATATGTGGAAAGTTGCAGTATTATAGTTTGCAGATGATGGTAGAGA